TAACCACCGACACGAATTACTAATGTAACATACCCACAATGAGGTGGTATAATGTTACACATCAACCATCAACATGCCATGTCAGCAATCAACATGACACCTTAGCTATCAACATGCCTTCATGCACGACAATCATGACAAGGTGCAAAATATGCAAACTTTTGAGAGTTGAGTGGCAACATGAACAATTTTGAAAGTCGATCGGCAAAATCCACAAAAAAAAAAAAAGTGAAAAATAAGCTGCAAAAAGTGCAATTAAGCCATTCTAACACGGCCCAGACCAACATTTGAGATGTTTTGGGGACAAATTTAGGGTTGAACTCTACACCAACTCAAACACAAACAATAGACAACGAATAAGAACGAAAGGAGACCTTCGGAAACCGATGTCGGAATGCCACCGACGAAAATCTTCTTGGTTTTGAAGTCGTTAGCCTGTGAGGAGCCCTTGGGGATGGTCCTCTTAATCTCGACCTGGGAAGAGCGAAACGACAGGGAAGGGGGTGAAAACGACGGCGGGTTGAGAAAACGCGTAGAAGAGAAGAGAAGAGAAGAAAAGCGCACCTGCTTGCCGTTGATGACGTGGCTCTCTTGAATGACTTGGTCAACGACGGAGGGATCGGCGTAGGTGATAAACCCGAAGCCCCTGGGCCGGCCCGTGTGGCGGTCCTTCATGATAACGGAGTCCGTTATGTCGCCGTACTTCTCGAAGTACTTGACGAAGGTCTCTGCGAGAAGGAACGAAAATAGATAAATAAATAAATGAATGAATGAATGGTGAGAAAAGAGGAAAAGGGAAAAATGTGAGGGTGCGACCTAGGGTGGTGTCTTTGGCTAACCCTCCGATGAAGATTTTGCTGCATGGAAAGGGGAAAGTGAGAAGTGAGAAGTGAGAAGTGAGAAGTGAGAGGAGAAAGGAGAATGAAGGAAGGAATGAAGAGAGAGAAGGGAGCGAACCCGGGACTGGCACCGTCGCCGGAGTGAGGGTTGTCGGATTTTCTGGAGGACATGGTTGGGTGCAGATCGAGATCTGCAAGTAGCGGAAGGAGAGCTATAGAGAGAGAGAGGATAGCTAGGGTTACTTACTTATTATTGAGGTCTTCCCCACGCGCTTTTCTCTTCTTTGGGCTTGGGCTGCCTTTTTTGTCGAGATTTCATGCGCAAGGGCTCATTTTGTTGTGGAGATTTCGTGTGTGTTTTGTTTTTCGTTTGAAAACTATTCAACCCATTTTCACACGTTTCGGTGCATAAAACTTGGAAAATAATTATTTTTATTCATTTCATGAAAAGTAAATTAGGTTAAACGTAACTTTTTCACGAAGACAATCTTCATAGGTAAGCGAGGTGGGATTTAGATGAATTTATTGTTTAATTTAATTAAAATTCAAAAAGAGGTTGAATTAGATTTTTGTATTTTTTTTAAATTCATCTCAACTCAATTAATGGGTTAGATTAGGTATGATATTTTAATTTGGTCCGTGATTCGTCTTGATTTAGAGGGGAAAAATTTATATTGACTAGATTCGGGTTCAAATTTTTTTCAATTGGTAAAATCGGGGACAGGAATGTTAATACCCACCCTGACCTTGTCCCTGTCTCACTTAATAATATAATTAAAAAAATTATCCTTATATATATAAAAACTAAAATTAGAAACTTTTATATGTAAAAATTTGTATTATCTTTTTTTTTCATATTTATTAGAAATAGAAAAGAAAATCTGAACCTCGTCGAGGGCAGGAATGGATACCCAGATTTTACTCCTAACGAATATCGGGGCGGGGGCGAGGGTGTTTTAAATTTGTGGGGACGAGCCATTGTCATGCCTAGGTTGGATTGAGTTATCTCATCAAATTAACATAATTAAATTTAGGTTCATTATATATATATATATAT